GCTCTAACTTGAAATGATGAGACTCTTCCTATTGTGACCACCTGATCCAGTTTTCCTCTCTACCATTTGCTCTTTTTTAAACTTATTCACCATTCCCTTGATAGTTCTTGAATGAACTTTGAAGATGCAACTGGAATTGGAACTCGGCTCTCCAATTAACAATTCCAAGCCATTATCCATTACACTACTTACACCTCCAAACTTACAGTATCTGGAATACCCAAATGGTCACCCATCTAGGTGCTGACCTGGCTAGACATTTCTTCAATGATCTTACAATATTTCAGCATATGGCTGCATTCCAGTGAAAATAGAAGTGTTCACCTTGATAGTAACTGTTCAATTGACACAAACTGGTCAAATTTGAGGTCACATCAGCAAATCCATTTCTGAGGGCAAAAAAAAAAAACAAAAGTTAGAAAGTCATAAAAATATTTTCTGACAAATCAGAAAAGATCCAGACTGCTTCAAACAACAGTTTACTTCCAAGACACTTCAGCATATTAATCGCCATCAATTCAATTCAAGGGCAGATGGCTCATCCAAGATACTGTAGCCATTTGAAATTTTGGCCAGGCAATTGCTGAAGACACCTACCCATTGAAATTCTATGCTGATGACTGAAGGTTCTCACAGAGGTGCCAGTAATTGGATATTAACTGCAGCAGCTGAGGCCATTATGTAATGAAAACCTCTACTTCAACTATGCAATAAAGCTTGTAAACATATATATGTTCCTTGTGTTAACCATGTTTGCCGTAGTCTTTGAATATAGAATCCAGTGAAGTCCGTAATGTGTTCAATATCAGAGGTTGGCAGTGAAGATTCGGAGAAAGTAGCAGCTGTTAAGTAATTCTTTAAGTCTTCGATATCAGGTTGGCAGTGAAGATATTTTGGGAGAAAAAACAAAATGGCTGCCTTTATACTACTGTACTGTACTGTACTGATGCGGCATTCACCCTGGGCGGATTGAGCTGGCTTCTTCCTGTTATGAGAAGATTCTTGGGATAAATTACAGAAGTAGGGTACCCAGGCCTACTCGGATAATGTTCTTGCTTGCCGCGGGATTCCCACAGACACAGAGACAGGAACGACCAGAAGCCGCCAGTTACCGATGCAGACGCTCCTTGATTTTCACCAGAGCCCTTGTTAGCGAGGTGTGTCAGACCTGTCCGCCTTTGGTGGCCCTACCAGGAACGAAGTTCCGGGCAGCAATGCTCTGACACTACCGTTTACACCCCCCACCGACTGTGAGGTAAGGGTTGGACTTACAGTACCAGGTTTTCCCAAGCGGTCCCCCATCTAAGTACTGACCTGGCTCTACGATGCTTAACTTCGGTGATCGAACGAGAACCGGTGTTTCAGCGTGATTTGACCGTAAGCTGCCTTTATACACGTCAGATTGAATATTTTGAGCTTTCTGATTGGTTAACCCTTCTCTTGGTGGACTATAAAATGAGTCAGCTCATTTTGGCTAGCTCACTAGTACACCAAAGTACCCAAAAATCTTAACACCTTGTGTGTTCTTGCTCCACAACTATAATGCAATACCAACTCTTACATATGTTGTAGAATAAAAAGATAAACTCTTAAATCATTTTTATATATTACCCAAGGCAAAAAGCATAACTAAATCTGTCTTTTCACTTAAAAAAAAACCCTCATCTCCACATTTAATACATTCATTTTCTGTTTACCCATGTTATAGTACTCAAGACAACACACTCAAACAAATATATGTCCATGCACTGAATATTGCAGCAATATCTGGTTTGATGCTTGTAGCGTGTATTTAGAGTTTCCTGATAACATTGCTGACTCTGGATTTTATCGGTTTTGTCCTGGCATCTCAACTTCAGTCACGTTCCAGCTGCTGTAGTGAAATTTTCCTGTGCCTTTTCTATAAATATTTTTGTGGTAATTGTTCTTATAAACTTTACTCTTTGGTACCTCGTTTTTACAAATTTAAGAACAGGAAGTTTAGTGTGGTGTCATGGATAAAGGCTTGAAATGAGAAATTGTAGAGATGAGTTCAAGTTCAAGTCAGGCTTACTATCAGTTACACAAATAATAGACTTTGGAACAGTATGAATCTGTCTCTCCTCCTCTCAGCTAGAGGTTGAATAGCATGACAGACTGGTTCCTATAGCCTTGGTTGGCAACTAGTTTATTGCAGAAATAAATGGCAACTGACAGCGAGAAAATCTTCTGCCTGGTCAGTTATGAATTGAAAAGGGATATGATCACACAGGCATGTATCACGTACAGCACTTGACTGACTAGATTGGCAGCTAGGTCTCATCCTTTTATGGTTGAAATGACTAGATGTAACTGTAAGTTCTATGTTAACATTTTCTTCTCTCGCACTTCTCACTTCAAAACAATCTTCAACAATTTAAATGCAATGCCAATCTTTATCTTAGTTCCTGTTCTTTTAGTGTTCTTGCTCCTTAACAATATTTTCTTTTTCTCATAGTCTTTTACACTGAGTGACCCCTTGCATCTTAGTGGCTTTATTGCCAATGATAATGATAGTATAAGAATCTTTTATTTAGGATTCACTGATAGAACATCCAATACATGCTAACAATAGGAAATGAGTTCAGTAACTATGCAAAAATAAAAAGGGGGTTAAGACAAGGATGTCTCTTCTCACCAGACCTTTTCAAACTATACAATGAGGCCATACTAAGAGAATTAGGCGTCCTACCAAAATTCATTATTGGCGGCTGCAATTTTAATATGCAAATGACACAATGTTGATTAGCAGACACAGAAAGAAAACGACAAGAACATCTACAGGAGGTAGTAATGGAAAGCAATAAGAAAGGACTAAGCATCAGTTGCAAGAAGATGGAATGCATAGAAAAGAGATGCAAAAGAAACAGATCATCATGCAAATTATAGATTAGTGATACCAAAATCAAACAGGTGCAGCAATTTAAGAATTTCTGGAATCGTATTAACAAAGGTTGGAAAATGCGCTACGGAAATTCGAAGGCATATTGACATTGCTAAAGATGCCTTCCAAAAGCTGAGCAAAGTATTAAGATACAAAAAATATTGTTAGAAACAAATAAAAAAGTACTGAACTTTTATGTAGTATCATTCCTCCTATATGGCAGTGAATGCTGCAACAGTAACAGATGAAGAAAAGACTTGGAGCAACAGAAATTTGGTTCTACAGAAGATTGTAAAGAATACGATGGGCTGAACACGTGAACAACGACGGAGTTTCAGAGAAATTGGAAACAAAAAAAAAATGACACATTTAGAATCATTAAGAGACAGCTGAAATTTCTAAGGGCACGTAATGAAGAAAGAGGACTTGGAAAATTTGACACTCACAGGAGATACCGACGGCAATAGGGGAAGAGGACTGCAGCTCATAATCTGCCTAACGAGCTTGGCAGGACAGAGAATGAATTAACAGAGGATGGATAATGTGCTACGTAAATTTGAAGGCATATTGGGATAGCAAGAGATACCTTCTTGTTGTAACCTATGGAAGGCTACTGAATAGAATAATCACACAAAGGTTGGTAATGAACGATAATACCTAGGACAAGAACATATAAGATTCACCTGGATTGCGTAGAAATAGTCAACTGCTAGAAATGAGTCAAGAGAATTCCACAATGAATCTCCAACTGCAGACCAACATACTGTATTCACTATTGTATTTATGTGATTGGGGACATACACCTTATAATCTGTATGTATGTTACAACACTTCCAAAAGCTGAGCAAAGGATTAAGATATTGAAAAATATTGCTAGAAACAAATGCTGGACAATCGCGTAACAGATGAGACTTTAAGCAACAGTAATGTGGTTCTACAAAAGAATGCTGAGAATGCCATGAACCAAACATATGAGCAATGATCAAATTCTAATGACAATGGCAACAAAAAGAACACATATGCTTAACATAGTTAAAAGAGATAGTTAAAACTTTGGGAGCATATAATGAAGATAAAGGACTGGGAAAATTAATACTCACAGGACAGATTGAAGATAAGAGTACTAGAGGAAAACAACACATAACCTACCTGGCGAGCTTGAGTGAATAGATGAGAGGCGAAGGTTTGGGAGAGATGGCAAAAAGACAAATGTTATTAAGAGCTACAAATTATAGGGAATTGTGGAGAGCCATGATCACCAATGCCCTGACCCAACCTGGGTATGACAAACTTCATCTGCATCCAGGGTAAGACGATAAATTACGTCTAACATCAAGGCCTCTGATCAGGAGGTTTTGAGGAGCATGGAACCACCACTTAATTGCTGGTGTTCCCAGGTCCACCCTAACCCGGGGTGGTAGCACCTGTTAGGGTCCCAGCTATGGCCAATAGTTAACCCCCAAACTGAGGTAAAAAGCATTATGAAAGTGTAAAAATAGGTTTTAATACCAGAAATACTTTGCAAAAATTATTACCAGAGATAAATTTTTGAAGGAAAAAAAATATTACAAGCAATATATTTTTTAAATTATATTACCAGCTATACATTTTTGAGGAAAAAAAAATATTACCAGAAATAGATTTTTGACAAAACAAAATATTACCAGATATAAAAATTTTGTCGGCATTAAATAACCCATTGAGGTTGATATGCTGTAAACCAAACCAAACCAAACCAATGCCCTGACAGGACACTTAGGAAAACAAACCAGGGATCAACAACTCAACTTTATAAACTCCATTCTAGTGTTGTAACCATGGAGCTACTTATATAAACAGAACTCTGAAGTTGATAATCTCATTGTTTAGTTATTCAGTACAAACCTTGCAGCCTTGGTTCCAATAAGCTAACCTCTGTGCTAGCAGGTGGTGACCTCCCAACCAAGCCTTACCAAAATATCTGGCGCTTTGATACAATGAATCACCAACTCTTAGTGCAAACAGAGTTCAGCTCTGCCTCACTGCCTGATTTAGATTTTTATGATTAAAACCAATTATTGGTAGTGCCTAATTCTTATGACTCTTGCCAGAATTAGCAATGCTTAAGCGACAGTTTTGCTTCAGAGTGCAAGAAGCAGCAATTCTCAAAGAGCAGTAAAAGTAACAACATGAGTTCTTAGATTTAATTGGCCCATACGTTCATCAGGTCTGTTTGAGTTCTTTGCTGATGGGGAAGTCATTTGATGAAACAAGTGCTGTCAGATAATTCCTGTTCCATTATTTTGCAATATAAAATAAGATTATATATATATATATATTAATATATGTATATAGAAAGATTTTATTTAAAATTATTCTGCATGTTTCTTTCACTAACTACTGAAATTATGATCTCTCTTCTATATAAAAACTGAATAAAAATGATTAAATAAAAAAATCAGTATATTTTTTCCCGATTTAGATCTGGTAGAGTCAAAAATTAACAGTCTCTTTCTTTCCTTTTTCATTTTTATGACAAAACCATATAAAAATTTCTCGCATAATTATTCAATCTTTTTTTTTTTTTTTTACAATAAGGTTCACCCTGTACAAGGCCCAAAGGTGACATAGACAAGCGTATGGTTGCAAGAAAGAAATGCGACAGCAGTAGAAATAGATTTATGTTAATTAATGTTTCTTTCTGCAGTAGATTGTTTGCCATACATATAGGACCTAGTATCTCCTGATATTTAATCCATAGCTGGGGGGAGAAAAGATGAATTCAGACCTTTCCAAAGGGTATTTGCATGTAAATCAATCTGACTGAAATTTGAAATCAGCTCTGATTTCGCATTCCAAGAGCTGATCTATATGCCAAGTTATTTGAGGTGTTTAGTATTTAATAATTCCAATATTTATGATGTATTCAGGGTAGGTGCCATTACTAATTTCATTCCAATTCCAGTTGATAAGCCATAAAAAATATAGCAATTATTATACCAGTATTCAGTTAAGTGGCATATGAGATAGACATTCGAGCAATCATGTCTCTTCTGATTCATGACTGACTAGGCAGAAGATTTTTCAGCAGTAGGTTGCTGTTTCTTTCTGCAATAGACTAGTTGCCAACCAAGGCTATAGAAATCAGTCTGTACTGCTATTCTGTCTATAGCTGGGAGAGAAGAGTGGATTCTTACCTTTCCCAAGGTTAATTGTGCATAAAGGGATGTAATGAACCCAACTAGAATTTGAACTCAACTCTCTGATTTCCCATTCCCAGCTGGTATTCATTACCCCACACTGCATCATTATTCAGTGATTAAATTATTTTCCATGGTTTCCTCTGACATTCGATATTTCAATTAAATTGTAAATTATTAGACCAAAAAAAAAAATCTGTGTATTTTTGACAAACTGTTTAATTCATATATATTCATAGCTTCATTATTCAGTCCTCAAAATCTTTCCTCTAGCTTTTGATGACCTTATGCCACTGTTTTCCTAAATTATATATTCCATCCTATGTTAATGCAGAAGTTTCCAGCATTTCAAGATCATTTATTCATGCAAATCCATAGCTTCATTTTTCAGCCATAAAATTTTAATCTCTAGATTTCAATGGCCTTATATCATCATACGAGATTGATACAAAGGTTTCTGTCCTGGGTATAATGATAAACTACATCTGGCAGCAAGGCCTCTGATTGGGAGATTGGAGGTTTTGAGGAGCATGGAACCACCTCTTAACTGTTACTGTTCCCAGGTCCACCCTGACCAAGGATTGTAGCACATGTTAGAGTCCCAGCTATGGGCAAATAGTGACCCCCCCACAAACACTATCAAAGTATAAATATATATTTTTTCATAGTAAAAAATACCAGCAATACATTATATAAATAAACCTACCAACAATACATATTTATAGTAGAAGTACCAACAATATATTTTATAGCAAAATGACCAAAAATGCATTTTATAGTAGAAGTACCAACAATATATTTTATAGCAAAATGACCAACAATGCATTTTATAGTAGAAGTACCAACAATACATTTTATAGCAAAATGACCAACAATAAATTTCATCTGTAGTTGAAATCGTAAAATATTTAGATTCCAGCATTAAATAACCCATAGAGGTGTTGATATGCTGATATGCCACTAATCAAAATCAAATATTTCCAGCTTTTTTTTTTTTTTTTTTTTAATAAACTTACCAACTGTTTCAGACAAGTGAATATTGGTGTCTGCCAGTTAAATGCCGTACATGATACACGTTTTAGTGATCATGTCTCTTTTGATTCATGACTGTCAAAGCAGAGGATTTTACCCAAAGGTTGTCATTTCTTTCTGTGGTAGACTGGTTTCCAACTAAGGCTATAGAATCCAGTCTGTCCTGCTATATAGCTGGGAGAAAGAGATGAATTCATACCTTTCAAAAGGATATTTGTCCATAAGTGAATGTAAGAAACTCAACTTGAATTTGAACTTGGTTCTCTGATTTCTCATTTTGAGCCACTATCCATTACATCCCAACATGCAATTGGTGTGTAATAAATTCTTTTCAATGTCCGTCTATATCTCTGAGATGAGGTATTATGATGACTTGCATTATTATTCGAACTGCTATACTCATCTTTATTGCCATATTCACAATGTTTCAGGTACTGTGTGCTCCGGCCTTCTTCAGGTGATTGGAATTTTGAACCAAACCCATGTGGCCAGTAGATAAAGATATTGGTTAGATCCAGTGACTAGACCCAAAGAGTTGTGAAGTCAATACCAGCCCACAGCAGTGGTGAAGCAAGAACTTGGAGAGTTGAGTTAAAGGGAAATAACAGAGACATGCTGAAGAGGCATGGTACGTGGAACTAGAGCAATCTACACCAGTGGATAAAATAAAGGGTTCAGTTCAAAATTCCAATCACCTGAAGAAGTGCAGAGTGTACAACTGCCGAAACATTGTGATTATGGCAATGAAGATGAGGATAACAGTCCGAATCAAGTAAATAATGCAAGTAATCATAATACCTCATTTCAGAGATCCAATCACCAGAAGAAGGCCGGAGATTACAACAGCCGAAACATTGTGAATATGGCAATAAAGATGAGGATAACTGTCTGAATAATGTAAAATGCAAGTAATCATAATACCTCATCTCAGAGATCCAATCACCTGAAGAAGGCTGGAGATTACAACTGCCGAAACATTGTGATTATGGCAATGAAGATGAGGATAACAGTCTGAATAATGTAAATAATGCAAGTCAAATTCTTTTTGTTATAAAATATGAGTGTAAATTTTGTCAACATTTCTTTCTTTTATTTATCTTTTTTATTTTATGTTTTATTTAAGACAAACAAATTCTTAGTATCATTATTTTGTCATCAAAGTATTCTCCTTGGATTTCAATCATATGCCACCTTTTAGCTAAATTATTGATTTGAAGAATTTTACAGAACTGTAAACTGTAGAATTTAGTTGGACAACTAGACAGTACTCAACTGTATTGGAAGTTGAGTCTGCAATGACAACCAAAATTTATTGTATAAAAAGATAGAATTTTGGCACAAGGCTAAAAATGGGGGAATGGGTGGAGGCTGGTCATCACTTGCTATCCTATACCTAGCTAAACCGAATCATGACCCATTCACTCGTTACAATTTGCCCATACACAAGAGCTTGTCTATCATCATTGAGTCCTTCATATACCATAATACTGCACACTCTCAGGGAAGTCTGCTCTGACAACCTGTTTTCGGCCAGTTGGCCAGTGGTTTATATAACAGGCTGAGATGTTCCATTCCGCTACTTTTTTCTAGGTTTCGATTGGCTGCTGACTTTGGTGTGGATACTGTGCTCAATAAATATCCATCATTATGCTGTGACTGCTGTCTGTATTGAGTTATAGCCTGCTTTCTTTTTGTCTGCCAACTGGATGCTAGTTGGGAACTTCCTTGTAAGGGTGTCATATTTTTGATTCTTCATAAAATTTAACTAAAGCAATAAAAACAGGCATAATTGAGCAACAAAAAAGGAAAAAAAACTGTGCTAAATGGCAATATGAAGTTAGAAGCAAAAATTTTTTAAAAAAGTAAGAGAACCATACAATAAACTAAATGTTTATTGATTCTCTCTTATCAGAATTAAATCAAGGAAAGTAAAGATTTTTTTTTTTTTTTTGCATTCCAACTAAAGGAATCTTTTAAAAGAAAATAAGTTCACTTGAAGAATATATTCAGAATGTATAAACGACTTTTTCAAAAAGTATAGAGAATGGTGCTATAAAACAAAAACTACAATGCATATCAATTCAGTATTTAATCTCCTTCAAAATAGTCCCCTTCTTAAGCCACACACATTATCCATCATTGTTTCTATTCTTTTCTGGAACTACTTTTTGGGGGAATGTAAGCAGCTGTCTAGTCACATTCTCTGGGATTTCTTCAACATCCTTTCAAGTGGGATTTACTTTTGGAAAGGAAAAAGTCACAAGGGGTGATATCTGGAGGGAAATATTGTAGTCAAACTTTGGGAGTATTTTGTTTTGGCTGAAAATTGCCGCACAAGCCATTATCACGGATGGAACCTTTGTGGTGTGGTGAGATGACTACACTTTAAACACGTTCCTTCCAAGCACTGCCATAAATAATAGAAGTGAGCAAGAATGTTATAATTTAGTGTGTATGTGCAACAGTTCAAGGTCAGTCTGTGCAAAGTGGCTTCAACTTCAACTTGTATACTTTACTTCTGTTATATTACCAATAGTCCTAATACATTCTGATCAGACATCATATTGTTATAAACAAATTTCTTTCAATACCAACAACCAATCCTTCTATTTACATAAGGAAGTTTGTCTTGATTTAATGAAAATAGTTTCAAGGACTTTTAAATGATTATTAGAATGCAATCCACATAAAACCTGTCCTCTTGGAAGGACTGTAGTGATAGTAACAAATAATTTACTAAATAATCTCCAACCATTATTACTAGACTATAAAATCAAAATAAAAAGTAATTAATAATAAAAGAAAAATTAAAAGTTAAGCAATAAAAATACTTTAATATACAGATAAGAATCGTAATTAACAATCAAGAAAAAGGTAGATTATAAAAAATATAGTTGAATATAGAATACTCCCAGAATGCATCAGAATAAGTGTTTTACCGCCAATTGAAACAAAAATAAAAACTTTCTCTCTCTCCATTTTTGACGGCCTGAAAAGAGATGTTCTGGACAATTCTCTGATAAAACATGTCGTCACCAATAGACAAGCAAAACTTCTTCATTTCTTTATACATATATGTTCTTTAAAATATATAATCATTTCTCTGGTATATATACTAAAGCATTTTATTATTTATGTCCATGCTTATTTTGTATCTCATATATGATTTGGTTTGTAATTTTATAATCCCATTGTGAGTTGGTGATACACTTTTAACATATACAAAAAAAAACTTACATTCAGACAAGGCCAAAATATCACTAGAGCCCCCACAAATGGACAATGCACACTCCTGATTTTTTTTATAAGTTGTTCTGCAGTTGATTCTAATTTTGAATTGCCAATTGTAGTTGTTGCTTTTTATCTCTCTAATTTACATCCATTTTTATTGAGTTAATTAAATCAAATACTCCATCAGATGAAGTTGATGTAAAAGTTTCTAGCATTTTTTTAGTTTTTCAACAAATTCTTTTATTCATAGAAATGCATCACATCATTATTCAGTCATCAAATTAATTTTCTGTGTTTTTTTTTGTTTTTTTTTATGACATACCAATTGTCAGGTTATCTGTTCCATCATAAAATAATTATTCCAATTTTGATTTCTGAATTCTTCCCGGAATTGTTTCCATTTTGAACTTGTTGAAACAACTGACCAATGTTTTATGGAATAGAACTAATAAGCTAAAGTGAATATTTCTGGAGAATATGCAACATTCTAGTTCCATGATTGCTTGCTGTATTCAGTTTTCAACTTTATGTATTAAAATCACCTGTCAACTTGTCAAGGGAAATAATTTTCTGTTCTTTGGTGTCATTCAAACAAGCCAGTTTCTCACTTAATCATTATGCTGTACCAGAGAATGAAAGTTTCTTCAAGATATGGGCAGCAATACCAAAATCTGAAACTTAAAAAGAACAAGATAAATAATAACTCCTATTTCAGCAACCATTGATACAACAATGTACAATCACATATCTATTATCCTTATCTTTATTGTCATATTCCCAATGTTTGTATGCTCTGGACTTCTTCAGGTGACATACATTGGAATTTCAAACTGAATCCTTTATTTCATCCACTGGAGTAGATTGTTCTAGTTCCACATGCCATGCCTTTTCTGGATATCTCAGTTTCAGTTATTTCCCTAAAGTAACTCTTTTGTTCACCTCTACTGTGGCCAGTTACTGAGCTCACAACTCTTTTAGTCAAGTCACTGGCTTACTTCAACCAATGCTTTTGTTCATGTGGAACTAGAAAATGCTTGAATTTAAATAAAATGTTCTTATTACATATTGAGTAAAAGGCCAACTGTTTTAAGAACTAACTTTTCATCCCAAATTTTGGAGAGAAAAACCAAAGTTACCAAAAATACCAGTAGTAAACAGATGAGATGCAAGTCAAATGATACTCAAATATAGACTGCTGAAAAGAATACATCCTTGTGCCAATTGATTGAAATAACTGCTTTAGTTTCCTTTCTTTCACCATAACGTCAGCTTAAATATTAATGCAATACTTAAATGCAGCAATCAGTTTTGAGTTCTTCTGTAGTTTATTGTTACCTATCACATCTACTCCTCACTAACTATTGTGATAAAGTCCCAATCAAGAGGCCTTCACAGGAGATAGCTAAATGTGGCTCGATAGGGTAGCTTTTAAACTAGTTTTGTATATATATCATTTTAGACTTGATAAAACTATGTCACAACTTTGTACTCGCTTATAAACTGTGTCTTTTGACACTAAAGGTACTGCTTGACTTTATTTACTTTTTTGAGAAAAAAAGACAACATTCTTCACTGCCCCACCTAAAACATAAAACTGGATTTAAGTTAGATTTTGGAAACAATACAAAGACAAGTAACAAAGAGACATACAATTACTTTTGGGTTTTTTTTTTTATATTCACAAAATGGCTGTTTAGGCTTCTAGTTGTATTTTCTTTTACTTTATTTACAATTCTATTTTTTCTCCTCCAAATATGGCCTTGTGCCAGATTCAAATAAGCCTAGTAAAATAATCTCTTTATTGCCCTCATTCCTATATTCTTCTAAACTCTAGATAATATTTTTAAATTCTTTCTCCTCAGGCTTTCTCTCTTCCTCTCACTTTTGCTTTTCTCTCTCTCTCACTCGATCTCATTTTTTTGCTCTCTCTCACTTTCTCTGTTGTGTTTTCCCTCACTCCCGTTTCTCTCTTTCTCTCATTTTTTTGTCACTCTCTTGTTTTCTCTCTCTCTCTGTTTGATTTCATTTTTCTCCCTCTCTCTTTCGCTTTTCTCTCTCTTGCTTGATCTCATTTTTTCTCTTTCGCTCGTTTTTCTCTCTTTTTTTGTTTTCTCTCACTCCCATTTTTCACTCTCTCTCTCTCTTTTGCTCTTATATTTTATCTCTCTAGTTTTATTTCTCTCTCTCCTCTTGTGTTTTCTTTCTCTCTCTTTCTCTCTTGTTTGCATTTTCTCTCTCTTGCTCACTCTCATTTTTTCTCTCTCGTTTTCTTTCTAGTGTTTTCTCTCTGTCTCTCATTTTTTATCACTCTCTCATGTTCTCTCTCTCTTGCTCTCATTTTTCTTCCTCTCACTTTTGCTTCTCTCTCTCTCTCTCGTTTTCTCTCTCTCGTTTTTTCTCTCTATCGTTTTTCTCTCTCTCTCTCATTTCTCTCTCTCTCTCTCGTTTTCTCTCTCTCGTTTTTTCTCTCTCTCGTTTTTCTCTCTCTCTCTCGTTTTCTCTCTCTCGTTTTTTCTCTCTATCGTTTTTCTCTCTCTCTCGTTTTTCTCTCTCTCTCTCTCTCGTTTTTCCTCTCTCTCGTTTTTCTCTCTCTCTCGTTTTTCTCTCTCTCTCGTTTTTCTCTCTCTCGTTTTTCTCTCTCTCTATCGTTTTTCCCTCTCTCTCGTTTTTCTCTCTCTCTCTCTCTCTTGTTTTCTGTCACTCCTGTTTCTCTTTCTGTCTCTCTTGCTCTCATGTCGTATGTCCCTCATTTTATTTCTCTCTTGTTTTTTTATCACTCTCATATGTTTTTTCTCTCTCTTGCTCTCATTTCTCTCACTCTCGTTTATTTTAATTAACTTGCTTTTTTGTGTTTCTCTCAAAGTTAATCCAATATTTTCTCTTTATTTACATTTATTAATCTTACTTTTATTTAATCTCTACAGCAAGATGATCCTAAGAGGCTTCACAGGTATACAATGATCTATTCTTGGCAGACATAATGTTAATATCAGTGATATAGATGACACTCTTTCAGTCCCAGGGAGGAAAATTATTTTACAAAGTAGGAAAAGAAAGAAAGAAGAAAGGACTAACTATTAATTGTAAGAAGACAATATGCATGGTCATCAGCAAAAGAGACTGCTGAAGGTGTAACCTACATATTGGGGATATTAACTATCTGGGTAATATAGTCTCAGTCAACAGGAATTATGATGTAGAAATCTGAAGGTGTATAAGAACAACAAATGACCTTCCTTACTAAGCAAAGTATTAAGAGAAAGGAACTTTTTAGAAAAAATGAAGTGTGCGGCCTCTGGTGTAATATCTGATCTTGTATAATCCTGGACAATCATGTCACAGATGAAAAAGAGGTTTGTAGTTAGTGAGATGGGGTTCTACTGATGAACTCTAAGAATATTAATTTTCAGCTAGAAAGTGACAGCTGAAATTTCGAAGACAAGTAATGAGGACCTGGCGAATGAAACCCTTACAGGACATGTTGAAAAAACTGGAGGGCAACAGCAAGTAATAAAGAATTTGAGTGAATGGATTGCAAAAGGGTTAAAGGTTAGAGAAGCAACCAAAGACAGGAAGTTGAGGAAGCCATGTCCTGGACATGATGCATGATGGAAGAAGTGTATTAAATTGATGAAAAATTATCATGAGAAAGATTGTTGAATTAATCTTGGTAATAGGGAAGACCTATGTTCCTTGAAAATCAAGATGGAAAAACCTGAAATTGAACTTCCAGAACCAGTGGGAAAAGCAGTTTCCTCTCCTACTAAGCAGGTTTTTATTTCAAGGGAAAAGATTTCTGTCTGGCCCACTACACCAAATCGAGATTTTGCTAATGAGACAGCCAATGAGGATCAAACTGCCATGCACTGACTTATTTCTCTTCCAAGGTCCCTTTCCTTCCTCCAAATCCCTAGGTACATCTCTTATCTCCTGTCTCTTTACTCCCCCCCTTTATTCGTTTTCCCCTTTTCACATATCATTTCCGTTGAGTTGACCGATTAAATAGATCAATGTCTGATCCTTACTCAATAGTAAGTATTATAATAAAAATAAATATAAAAATAAATTTTAAAACTCTCCCTTCCCTCTATAAACTCGACCATGTCTCTCACACAATTCCTCACCACCTTCTATGTCAACTTACATAGTCTTAATACTGCTCTTCAAAAGTGTAAATTTTAATTTCATTTTTTGTTTCACTTTTTGAAAGTGAAGTCTAAAGAAATAAAATCCTCTGGTGAAATAAATTATTACAAATGGAGCCTTAAAGTGGTCTGTTTTTCTTTAAATTAAATTATTCACTCTGACTTAACATTGAGCTCTCAGGATTTCATCCTCCTTGGGATTATCCATATGGATTACCAAGATTTTTGTTACTTTATATATATATATATATATATATATATATATATATATATATATGATCACCTTTAAATCAGATCAGTGTTATCAACCTTTATGGTTTCAACCTTATGGTATCCATAATATAAATTAAGGTTGAAACCAAGTTCAACTGATTTCCTAATTTTTAAATTTAAAAGATCTACATTATTTTTACTTTTGTTTTATTTTTTCCACACATGTATTGAGTACTTTTTTTAATACGACTGTTTCCTGGTCTGATTCAACTCTGACCATTAAGCTTTTATGTATTTGATATATTACCAACTTGTGACTGGTAGGTATAATTCCAAGGAGGATATTAATCCCGGAAGAGCTCAATGTAAACTACAGAGCATTATAATAACGTTACAATCTGTCACTTTCCTTCTTCCTCTCTTTATTTCTTCCCTTCTCTCTTGGTTTCCCTTCCCCCTGTCAATCTGTCAGTCCAGAGAAATTGGTCAGAAGAGATGAATATATAGAGATATTGACAAAACAAATTATAACCGAAATGCATCTTTTAAGTTTTTCTTCTTGATTTATTTATATATATATATATATATATATATATATATATATACATAGCATGCCTGCATCGTTTACTTGCACATTAATTTATTGTTAAATCTCGAGGCCCTTACATTTAATGGCAGTTTTTCCAGAGTTGTAAACTGAAAGATGGAATCTGTCTGTCCACTATCCTATAAAGTTTGATGTTTGACACGATGTTGATCCCAGCATGACACCCCCACCACACCACCAACATTTGGCTTGAGATATTTAACTAGCCTTTCTCCTATTAATGTTGGCATCACCAAAATCACTCTTGCTTTAATATTTGCTCAAGAACCCACCAGAAAACTTTGCCTGCTTTAATGTATGGTAATTTTGATCACATTTCTGAGTTTTGTTTTTTTCTTTCTGTTTTAAATTTTCTCTTAATATTTGGCACAATACGTGTGTGTGTATGTATGTATGTATGTATGTATGTACACACACACATTTCTGGATCCAGAAAGAACCTTTTGAATTAGAAACTGAAGTCTTGAGTCCTTGCACACATATTAAGAAATCCTCTGAAGCACATATGAGGCTAAATAAAAAATAAAGTGCAAAGAGGCCATTTGATGAAAAATCACTAAAACCAAGGTTGTGAATTCAACTGGTCTCCTGATTTTTAAAGTTAAAATCTCTACATGTTATTTTTACTTTTGTTTTATTTTGTTTCACACATGTATTGAGCACTTTTTAATACTACTAATTCCTGGTCTGATATAACTCTGACCATTAACATTTTATGTATTATGTATATATATATATATATATATATATATATATATATATATATATATATATATATAGCATGCTTGCACATTTTACTTGCACATTAATTTATTGTTAATTCTTGTGACCCATACATTTAATTGAAGTTTTTCTAGAATGGTAAACTGGGCAATAGAGTCTGTCCATTTTCCAAAAAAGTGAATATTAGGATGTTAAGTTAAAACTTTATAGCTGTTTCACACTCCTTGTTCATAACCCTCCCTTCAATCTGTAATGCATCGCCTTTGTATGCTTGAATTTGTTTTTTTTCTAAATAGATAACTTGTCTATTGCAAGCTCCCTCCCTTCCAACCATCTAATTCAAATGCACGTGCATCTCTGAGCAACCCTCATTACTCCCACTTCTTCCAATAGGTCTTTTAGTCCTCACATATGTTAATGAGCTAGTCTTAGTACCTTTTGGTCTCGGATCAGCATGATGTTTCAGACCCAAAGAAAAGTTCTGTTGCCTTGACAGGTGTATAATATAGGGGTTATTGTACTGCCATTTTTTGTGAATGGTTTCTGGACTGTGCCGTAGTTTCTGGTGGGACCTCTTGTTGCCATGATGAAGGGTGCTGCTACAGGAATATCTCTGGATGATTCTGTGGCGGACATGAGACAGAACCTGGGACGAGCACAACTGGTCGCGACTTGCCTTGTCCCCGCCAAAAAAGAGCCCGTATTTGCTTAGCATGTAAGAATGAGGGGGGACTGGCATCGCATTTTTATGCAATAACGATGCAATGCATTATGGGACATGGACGCAATGAATTATGTGATCACATGAAGACGCAAGGGATTATGGGTACATGAACAACTATAAAAACAACTACTTTTTTCCAAGTCGGGGAGTTCTTCGAGGGACGTTCACAGTTGACGGCAAGAACGGGCAGTTAGTGTGATTTGGAGACAGAACTCAAGAAGGAATGACTCAAGTTTGAAATACCAGCTGGGAGAGCTTGAATTTACTCGCTGGTTACTGTTTTCTTCATTCGCCTCAGATTCTCTTCAAGTTATTTATACATGCAACTCTTGTGAGTGTGTCTGTCTTACTACCTACTAATTTTCCACCAACCAATACACAAATGAAATCAATTAAAATGAACAAAACTAGCAAACCCAAAATAAAAAAAAACAAAATAACAAAGTAGACACCATGTATACTACCTCTATGTCAACACGAGGGGGTTTACGTTCCAACTTTCTGGAAGTGGAACACCATCTTCGTCCAAACCCATTGTCCTGTTACTTCCTGAAACTGGTATCAATGTCAAGCACAAGAGAGTATGGTATTGCAGTGGTGATTTTACATGAATATGATGGTGGTAAAATGAAAGCCATTGCTGATGCTACATGCTCTCTTCTATGAGCAAAGAAAAATCACAGCCAGATAGAAAAAGAGGCTCTAGTGATTATATTTGCTGTGAACAAATTTCCTAAATTTATTCATGGAAAAATTTTTAGGTTGCAAACAGACCACAGACCTCTTTTAAGAATATATGGTCCAAAGAAAGGAGTACTTATACATACAGTTAATAGACTACAACACTGAGGTACCTTATTAAAGTATGATTCTATGATGCAGCACCAACTGTCTAAAAAATTAGGACATGCAGATGAATTATCAAGCTTAATAGCTAAAAATGTTGAACCCTTTGAGGACATGGTCAGTGCAGCACTAAAAATCAAAATGGAAATAAAAAAAAATTTGTGCAGTTTAGTACGAGTGTTATCAGTTACCCTGAAAGAAATAAAAAGAAAAGCAGAAAATGATGTCTTTATTGCAAAAATAAAAAAGCAATTGAAAGAAAGTAACAAAGAACAAAAAACAAACTTAAATGCTTACTCACTATGCAATGGTGTAGTAATGTTTGGGCAAAGGGTTGTAATACATTGTGTATTACAGAAGCAAATATTAAAGGATTTTCATAGCAGACATCCTAGTATTTCAAGAATGAAATCACTGATGAGAAGTTTTGTAGACTGGATCAGAATGAAGCAAGATATTGAAAAAATAGTGAAAGCTTGTAGAGGTTACACTCTGGCAGCTAAACTACCTATCATAAAGAAATGGTCAAAGACAGGCATGCTGTGGTCAAGACTGCATATAGATTTTGAAGCTCCTATGAATGGATCCTATTATCTTGTGGTAGTTGATAGTTTCACAAAATGGCCAGAATTATAAGTGCAAAAATCCAACATCCTCAGTGATAGTGATTTTCTTGCATGAACTGTTTGTGAGATATGGCATAGTCTCAGATAATGGAACATAATTTATGGGTAAAGAATTTTAAGACTTTTGTAAGATGTTCTCTGTTAAACATATTACGACCCTACCATATCATCCAAGTTAGTCTATATTGCAGAAAAATGACTGTATATTTTAAAGGACAAACATACAAACATACACACACACAGGTAAAAAAATCCATGGGTAAGTAATTCAAATAGATCCTATTAATTTAAAATATTAAAACTGATCTACAAAGGAGCTCAATGTAATTTTTATTATAGAGCATAGAAGTGAATTACGATCAATGAAAGCCAAACAAATTACCCCATACAGATCGTCATTTCATCCTCGGGGAGGAAAAAAGTCCAGGAATTTTTTTTCCTGAGGATGAAATGGCCATCTGTATGGGGTAATTTGTTTGGCTTTCATTGATTGTAATTCACACACACACACACACACACACACACATATATATATAGTGTATTTAGGCAGCAATCCTTCATTTATACATGTTTCATTAAAGAGAACAGACAAGGTATTATGATTAAGCTTTTATTTAATTTTTCTTATGTTTGAACAAGTGTTTTCTTTTTGGGACACTGTATGTAGAAGGTTATTATGTTTGTATTTTTTACTAGTATGTTTTGGATGGAGTCTGATAAGTTCATGTGTGTGTTTAAATGGATTCTAATAGAACTGTAGAACCTCATCCACATGTAAAAAAAAAAAAAGATTAAAAATAATGGAAGCCTTAATAATAAAGAAAAAAAAACAAGACTTAATATTAATTATGAACACAACCACAATGTGTTAACTGTGTTTGGAAAATAACATCTCTATAACACTAAAAACATTCACACAACCCATACATCCAATTAAATTGAAAAAATAAAATAATCTTTGATAATGGCTAAAAGTACAGTTGAAAGACACTTGGAACTATAGAACATTTTAACTGTTCCTACACACTCTGTGTCTAAAAAAGAAAACAATTGTTTGATTGCAAGAAAAATTAAATAAAAAGCTTGATTGTAGTACCTTGTCTGCCATCTTTAATGAAACATAAGAAATTTTGTTTATCTGTTGGTGGCACCTGTTTATCTAAGAAATTCAAAATGTCTGTCTTCTTCAGCAGTCAAAATACAAAGAGAAATGTTAGGGTAACAAAATGATTGTTCTGATTCATCATGGGAGTATTCTGTATTTTGCCTTTTTTTTTTTAATAATCTTACTTTATCTTAATTTAATGTTAATTACCATTCTTATTTGTATTTTAAAGTATTTTTATTACTTAAATTTTTCTTTTATTATTAGTTATTATTTTGTTTCCAGACTACGACATAGACTACTAATAAGTGTTGGGGGTTACTTAACCATTTATTTATTGCTATCACTACCCATGTTTAGTTAAAAAAAGAAAGAAGATTTTATGCATATTACACTTAATGTTTTTCTTTTCTAATGTGTGAATATGTTTGCCAATTTAGTTGTGTGGATGAATTGGCCAAGGGTCATTGTGTATTCTGAGCTTTCTATGCAACATGTAATAATGTGTAATTTTTACTTCTTCCTATTTTATATTTTTTATATATTTTTCTATTTTTTTTCATATTTATATTTTTCATATTTTATTTATATTTTTTCATATTTTATTTATATTTTTTCATATTTTATTTATATTTTTCATGTTTTATTTATTTATATTTTTCATGATTTATTTATTTATGTAATTTTTTTCATGTTTTATATGCATTCAACAATGCATTGATTCCAACAATAGTTATTTATATTTATTGGTGGTTACTTAATTTGGATGTAAATGGCTTTTATAATCTTTATTCCTTTTTGCCGTTAGATTTATCAAATATTCTAGATTCATAAGATTGATTTGTTTGTTATTGTTTGTCAATTTTAACTGAATCACTTTTTGAAATATAACAATTCTTTCTTTGCAAGTGAATATTGCATTAACATCTTGGAGATAATAATGATTTTTCCAGAAGCAATTCGTACTAATTAGCCTATAGCTGGAGGATAAAAGATGGATTCATACCTTTCCCAAGAGTATTTGCACAAAAGTTAATGTAATTAGCTTGGATTTAAACTCAGTTTTCCCATTTCTCATTCTCTGCTGCTATCCATTACACTACCTGCATATCCACAGGTTTATTAGAAAAGAGCTAATATTACTGTAGTTCTTGTGGCACTTGTTCATGCATTGCCTAATGGCACTTTTGTCAGAAAAATAGCACATGAATCTACATGAAAAGTGGTGGTGGTTTAACCTATAATTTGTTAATATTTCCACATCTAAACAACATTACAAATGTCCATTCTCTTCCTATTGCCCAATTGATATTTATTAATATTAGGCCAAATGGAGAGTTAAAGTGGGAAGACTGTGCTGCGCCAATTCTATTCCTTGCCATGAAAATCAGCATTCAAAACTTACCTGATTTTAAACCTTGACGTCTGACATAAGGTCTAAAAGATACTGCTGTCCAAATCACAAGTCAAGAGTTGTCTCTCTTTACATATCCTCTCCTACTCCCACCTTATATGACTTCTTTCTCTTTCACTACCTTGCCTTCATAAAACTTCCTCTTTCTTTCACCTGCCCTCTCTTTACCTGTCTCCTCACCTCTGATAAATTGACTCTACCTTCCATCTTCTATTTTGATTCCATTATCAATGTCCTAATGACTTTTTTTTTCTTCTTTCTCCAGTCATCCTCATTGTTGTTCATTCTGCCAAAAAGAAAACCTGAATTTTTTTTTTTTTTTTAAAGAATAACTCCAGCAGTAGAATCTTCTGGAAAATCTCCAACAAAGATCAGATCCCACAGATGTTGCTGCCACTGCTTCTGTTGTTGTTTGTGCATCATGTAAATAAAACACAAATTAGACATCTCCATCTGTATATATATATATATATATATATATCACCTATCTGTATACAACTACACTTATCTGACTTACCTATACAGTGCCATGTGGTTTTTCATATATATATCTACATTCTCAGTGTGTTAGTTCTCTTAATGTTTCTTTATTTTTACCTTGTCAATTTTGATCAATCTCTTGCAGATTTAATATATCTCCCAGCCTCCTTTTCTAGCTATCTGCCATCTGATTGGCTTATAAACAAAATCCAGAAAATATTTTTGTATCATACTTATCTATGTATGATCCCCAATTTCCTACTCCAAATGTAGAGGTTA